GAAGTACCACTTTAAGCCTTTTTCTACTCAGAAGTGGAGGCCGCTCTCAATGACACTGACTCTCAACCCTGTGCTTGAGTCTCAGAGACCCCCCCCCGCCGCCCCCAGAGTGACCACACTATACCACACACTTTTATTGCCCTGTGTCTGAGAATCAGGCCATGATTTTTCCTCTGCCCATACTTTGGCTCCTAGGCTCATCTCTGTCTAAGCCAGTTTCTACTCATCCTTCAGGTCCCAGAAAACATTGCCTCCTGTGTAAAGCCTCCTCCATGGTTTTTTACCTGTCCAGTGACTTCCTTGCACCCTTAGAATTGAAGCCACCCACTTTAGCACTTAATTAAATGTTGTTTTGCATCTTCCTCTTGTCTCTCCCACTGTAAGCTCACAGACCAAGAAGCTGAAGTGTGGGGCCGAAGACAGTAGGTGCCTATGAGACTTCTCAATCCCCACAATCTGTGACCATTATTTGGAGCAGGAAATGTTTTGTATATGATTTCTATTTGATGTCCAAGTCTCTCCTGTTTCTCAGATTAAAGGGGAATGTAAATTCAAATCAAAGATGGAGAAATGCATGATGATAAGCCCATACCTGAAAGGGCCCCAGCTTGAGGGCAGACTCACTGCAGCACTCAACAATTTTTTAAATCCCACAATTTTCTGGCCACACCCCACTTCCTTTCCCACTGCCCACCACACAGAGCTCCAGCTCAGAGATCACCACACGTATCCCCTGAGACATGAAAATGCACGGACCCCAGCCACATAAGCCAACCCACTTCTGGGCACGTCAGGGCGTAGTTGCTGCTAGAAGAGATACCCAGAAATGGTCAGAACACACGGCCATTGCCACAGCTTGCAACAGTAAGTCTCACTCAGAGGCCATTCCGTGGTGGACGGCCAAAATCCTGGAGCAAGTTCTGAAACCCCACAGGCTTCCCTTCAAAGAGCAGGCCCATGATGACCATTATGAAGGCTGTCACCGCTGTGGCCACTGGTGCCCTCAGATTTGCACGAGAACCAGATGAAAGGAGCCGAGAGAGAGCTCTCCACAGAATCGGGTAGCCGAGATGTTCATGCATGTGACCAAAGCGCATCTTGGGGTGAAATGGAGTGGAGAGCAAGGGCTTCTCCTGCTGACCCGACCCAGCCCCACCTGGCTTAGGCGGGAGAGACAAATGAGGTTAAGAATTTGGATTCAGGTGGTAGCTGAGTCCAAAACAAGCCCAAAGCTTCCTGATGCCTCTTCTTGTATTGTCCAAGTTTACAACTCTGATCAGTGACCTGCGCCTCGGAAGGATTTCACTGCTCTTAGCGTTTTTCCTAGATAAGAGGGAGAGTTCAACCCTGTTTGTGCCACAGCAGCCTCTGTATAGAACATGCTGACTTTCTATTTCTTGAGCGCATCAAGATAGCCGTGCACCCAGGAGCTCTGCATACCAGCTGCCCTCCGTCCCCTGAGGCAGCTCCTGCATTTGGGGTACAATTTTGAATGTGCACTTGGAGAACGGTGCTCATTTGGTCTTACAGCCCTTCGGGCACCCTTCCCTCGTGACCGTGAGGACATCTGCTCCTTGTCTTTCACCATCTCTTGAGACCAAACCTCTTTCAAATGCAATAAATATTTGCACCTCCCTCGGCACCAGGCTGAGCTGCTGCTCTGCCCCTTCCCTCTTATTCGCACCACGTCGTGTCCTGAGCGACACTGTGTCCTGAGATCCACGCGGCTCAGCCTCCCAGTACGAGACTCAAAACGTGGGTTTTGTACAAGTCCATCAGAATTCAGTTGCACATCTTGAGGGGAGGGGAGGGAGCCAAACCAATTGAGAACCAATTTCCTGGGTCTTGGAAATGAGCCACCCAGCAAGCACTGGGAAATGACTTTGTCATTTCTGCCCTGACAGTGTCTGTCTCTTGGCTCTTCTCCTGGGCTCTGCTCACTGTCACCTTGCCATTTCAGACTCAGCCGCAGAAAGTCATGAGTCATTGGAACAATGACTTATTTTAGTTAACAAGGCTATACTTGGAGTGTTCTCATCAAATACCCAATAGGGGCTGTGAAGTCTACACGCGTGCCATGTAATTGCTTTCTAATGCCTCAGGCTTTGACTTCGGAAGATGGAGCTGATCATCCCCTCAACAGAACAGCAAGGAGCTGATGTCTCTCCCTCGACTGATGTTTCAACTTAGGAATAGAAGAGGGAAGAAATGAAAATGGTAGTTCCTGTCTAAAAATCACAAGAGGAAAAGGCATCGTTTCAAAATCAGCTTCAAACCAAAATAATTTAATGAGTGTGTGATAGTTAATATGTTGTCAAATATTGGCCATCAGAGTTTTACTGCCTGGAGAAGAAAGCATAGGTTTTCTTAAACTACATGAATTCTGACTGGCTGTGAGACTGTCATAACTTTTGTGTCTGGGTAAGAACTGGCCACCAACCTGTGCCTACCTCTAGACTATAGGTGACCTTCCATCCAGGGTTCTGGGCTTTGCCTTCAGCAATGGGTAGTTTGTTGAATCATTTAAGAAATGGCTAAGGGCCCTCCCTAGTGGCCCAATGGGTTAGGATGCAGCACTGCAAGAGAGCTGCTGCTGCCTCTTTGAGAGTTCAATCCCTGGCCCCGGAGGTGACCCACACGGCGCGGCAGCCCTCTCCTGTCTCGCCCGCTGCTCCCCTCGGCAGTGTTTTGTGGATCTGCCTGTTCTGTTCCCCGCTCTGTCTCTGGTGAATCCTCTCAGCACCCCTGCCCCTCTGGCCTGTACCCCAGTTCGGTATAAATAAATAAATAAATAAATAAATCTTAAAAAAAAAGAAAGAAAGAAAGAAAGAAAGAAATGGCTAAGCGCAGCTTCTGTGCCAGTCCTGGTGCTAACTCCCGCAGAACCACCACAAGCCCGCCCTCGCTCATGGATAAGAACCTGCGGCCGAGAGGAGGGCTGGCACTGATGCCAGCAGCCGCGGGCCCCAGACTCCTGACACTACCCTTCATGCCAGAAGTGGCGTCCCTGCCACTGCTCACCCAAGGTCATCTTCCCAAGACAACATGATGGGTTTTCATGAGAGCAGACAGAAGGGAATCAGGCAGGGACATGAACAAGGCTGCACAACGACTCAATGAAGCGAACAAGAAGAGATCAGTGGCACACAGTTAGGTTTCATAAGCGGCTGGATCCCTAGACTAAGGATGGCTTCCAGGCAGAAGGGCGGCCAGTGGGGGCCAGGAGCCAGAGGAGGGCCCACGGCGCACAGCACCCCCGGCCTGATTTCACTGGCCCAGCTTGCTGTCACCTCCTCGGTGCTGCTAAAGGCTCGAGGTGTAATGAACAGGCGAGAAAATGCTAAACATGGCAGCACCCTTCCTCATAGAGTCTTCACCCTAAACTTTGACGATGCTGGATGTCACATCACAATAAAACTGTCAATATCACAATAAAAAGTCAATATCGCAATAAAAATGGTGGATAAAAAAATTCACCAATTTGTCCCACTTCACCTCAGCCTAGGGCCAGCAAGAATCCTCCCCCTGGCTGGGATGACTGGGCTGGGCCCACGGCTAATAGTGGACACCTGCCCTGATGCTGGCCCACAGGTATCAGGTAGTCTTAACCCAGAGCGTGTTTCCCTGACTTTCTGTTGGCTGGAAATAAAGGGCTGACGGGTCTGTCACTGTGTGACCAGCCCCCTGCCCCACCGATGTGCAGTTTGTGGACAAAAGTCCTGCTCAGGGCTGCATGGAGTCCCGGGCACCCCATGCCAGTGAGTCCCATTTCCTCCTCTGAGGATGGGGAGCTGACTCAGTCCTCATGACCTCACGCTTTGCTTCTGACATTTCAGAATCGTCTTCCTTTTCCTACCTCTTCATCTGGGGGTGGTCTGTTTTCTGAAAATGTCAGAAGAAGCAATACTTGTCTGCTGGAAAGTTGTCTCCAGACTCTCCGTCAGAAGACGTGATTTACAATCTCAGAGGATAACGGGCTGCGGCCCGCAGCTGTGCACAGACGTCCTTAAGGAGGAGACAGGCACGTCGGGGACCTTTTTAGAGCTGAATGTGTCTACGTTGTGCCCAATCATTCAAAACTACCCCGGGTGTTTTCCTGAGTGGAAATGCCACAGCTGGCCACAACTGCCAGCCAGAATGAGGGGCAAAATCAGTAAGAAATGGCACAGATGGCCTGCGTGAGGGCAGGGCACCACCTCAGCCCAGCGTCAACCACTCGCTCACGGACGGCAGCTCGGGACTTCGACCAACCCATCAAGTGTGGGTCAGCGGTTGACATTGCTTCCCTCATTCCTCTGACATAACAAAGTGTGAAAACCTTTGCAAGATTTTTATGGTGTCTGCAAAGCCGTGCTGAGATGATCTGACTGCAGGAATCGTGAGGTGTCGCGGCAGAGTCACACAGAGTCACACAGAAGGGGATATTGAAACGCTCCTAGTCTGTTGGGCGCTTTCCAGAAGATTTCGGAATATTAAATAAAATATGAAATAATTCAGAATACTATACTGAGGTCGGATTTCTTCAGTACTAATACACCATCTAAATTTTCCTTGTCAAAGAGATGATTTGCACAAGGAACATGTTTCCTGCTTCCTTGCCCAGGACTCCCCCCAGCCCCCAAAGTGGTCCAGATAACAAAGAGCAAGAAGTTTGCAGCGTTGATACTATCTCCTTTCATGTGTAACTGTGTGTGTGCATAGCTATTGGTCATTAACTTACTCAGAGGTCAAAAATACTTTTTTTGCATTATGTTCTGTAAGACTCACACAAGCTTCTACAAACTAGCCTCCCTAACTTTGCTATCACCGCTCAGTGGCTACGCCCCATCCATCAAGGCCTCCCTGGTGAAAGGCTGCATTGAGCAGCCCAGCAGAAGTCTCCCGAGTTACTGCTCAAGGGGCCCCCGCCTTTAGCTCTTTCTAGTCCCCTCTGCCCAGAGAAGCCGCCCCCCCCACCCCACCCCCGCCGCTGCTACTCAGACACCTTTCGTTTTCTGTAGAGCTGTGGTGAGGAAGAGCCGGTAGCCGAGGAACCAAGATCACCTGCCAAGATTTCTGGGGCTAAGAGTGATTCCAAACTTCCAGCCATTGAACAAACCTCAGTCAAGCAGAAACATAAAAGCACCATGACCCCCAGGAAACCAGAGAAAGTGGGCTCCAGCAAATCCTCTCCAGGTGAGTGGCGGGTTTATTGAGATGCACCAGGTCTCGCGCCTGCCTGTGCACTAAAGGTAAAGGTGGCCACGCGGGGGAGCGTGTCATTGCACCTGGGGATCCCCCAGTGGTGGGCTCAGGTTTCCCAGGGGCTGACGGTCTTATCCAAGTGGCAAAACTCATTCCGGAAGGGGCTCGCAGGTCAGGGAGGTGCGGACTGCACAGAGGAACCGTCACCACTGTGCATTTTCTGCCCGGTCCCCCAGAATTGCTGCCTTTTCATCATCTTCCCCCTTCTGTGGGGATAAAGGCATTTGGCCCCAGGTATCAAGTTTTATGACTCAAGCGAGAGCATGAAGGGAAGCTTTCAAAAGCATCTGAATGGCATAATTTATAGCCACAGAAAGGGAGTAATAAAGTCCTCCAGTTCTGGGGTTGTCCTCTCTGGGAGAAAAGGGGCTTGATAAATCCTCCCTTTTGTGCAATTTGGTAAATAATTCACTCTTGAGCTGCCTTTGAAGCAAAAACCAGTCCTGCGCTCGAGGCAGAAGTGATTTAATAGTATCCAGAAAGGGGAGAGATCCAACTGGAAGTTTGGCGTCCCGGGGGCACCTCCCTGTCGAAGCCAACATCTGTCGTAGCAAACCCCATGGGACCCCACGTCAGAGCTGGGGTAACCAGGCAGAAAGGTGTGCCTTCTGTTTGCGTTGCAATAGAAACGCTCCAAATTAAATGCCCAAGAATTCCCCAATAGCCAGCAATTCATTTAAATCCAAATCACAAGGACTTTCTAATCCTAAATAGCTCTAGCCGCCAACCGCCCACCCAGCAAAGTCCTAATGCATTTTTAGAATATGGCAGCTTTCACTCTGATTAACTGGCCACATTTTATTGCTCTAATGAGGTTAAAAAAAAAATTGACTGCTGAAATGATGTCCTTTCAGGCAAAGCCCCAACTCTTCCCCTGACTTAGCCAGAGAAAACTATCTCCACACTCGACAGTATTTCATCTTGAAGACTTTTAGTTGGAATTTGGTTTTTGTTTTTTTGTTTGTTTTTGGTTTTTTGGCGGTGAAAAATTAAATAGGGTTGATACGATCATCCCCCAAATATTTTGAAATGCATGTTGGGATTTATTAAATGGAGGGCGTTTTTAATAGGAAAAAAATTGAATTTGAGTTTAAAGAATGCCATCCCATCCGCTCTAATTTTCAGCCTTCTTGCTAAAGCTGGGTAGCTGCCCACACCGAGTACTTCATGGCCTGTGGAGAAAATCTTTCCCCTGAACCATTCACGCCCACTTGGTGACTTCTAGCTTGTCTGATTAATACAGATGTTTTCCAGACCAAGCCAGCCCCATATGGAACTCACAACACTGACAAAATGGGAGGACTTGTCCCCTTTACATCCCCTAAAACATCACATCTGAAGAATTACTAGACTGAAAAACACCGAAGTGTAGGCGAGAGAGCCAGGTTGGCAGAAAGAAATCCTTGTCATCAAAAGAGGGGTGTCACTTGCAGTAAGTCTCTCAAAACTGCCAGCTCTGTCGTCTACGGCCCAAGGCCCGGACCATGGCCTGGCTGGCATGTCAGTGGTGGTGGAAGCCACTCGGGTGTGCAGCCGACAGGGTGGGTCACCAGGCTGGCACCAGCCAAGCCCAGGTTTGTGGAGACCCACTGAGTCCCAGAGGCCCGTGACCAGCCAAAGGGAGCCCCGGCCCAGAGACACAGCGAGAATTCTAGCCGAGCCTATTTGGGTTGTGGGGTGAGGAGAGCCCGGAAATCCAGATAAATATCCTGCTGGTACAGAAAACATGGGTGCAGGAGCTCAGTGATGTGGACACATGGATCCATTTCATCAGGTAAATCCAGCCTCCTGCTTCTCTTCCCCACGGTAGAGAAATCTCTCCCTAAGTATTGGGGGGTGGACAAAAGCTGGCATGAGTCACCAAAACTTTTCCCCACATCAACCCTGAGATTCTGCGCAAAACAGAAGCATCAGACACAGAGAAACATCTGCAGCACCTGCCTGAGCTCCCAGACGGCGTCACGCCTCGCCACAAGCGGCTCAGTAAACCCCACAACTGGGGGGTGGCCTCACATACGTGCAAGTCCACGCAATGGCAAGCCATGTCGTCAGAGTTCCCCGACACAGGAACTGCCAGCCAGAACCCCTAAAAGTGGCTCCCCACAACACAGGGAACTTGGGTGCCCTCTGCACACAGACGAGGGACCGAGGGGGTCACACTGTCATCGCTCTCACCCTATGAGCAGGAGCCACACACCCTAATGCCTATGTCCCCGGAAGTGTCTCTGAGCGACCTGCCTGGGACTCTGCTCGTGCCCCTCGCACTCATGTGGGGGTGCAGAGGATGGGCCTGTGCTCTGCAGTCCAAATGCTGAGGTGGTCACCTGGGGCCCCTCTTTTGTTTGTTGTGTGCTTTGGGCGAGTAACTTCTCTGTGCCTCAGTTTCCTCATCTGTCAAGTGGGGGAGAGGAGGGTCAAACAGACCCTGTCGTTGGGTTTCTCTGATATGCCAGGCTGAGTGTACGTGCAGACCCTCTCGTGAGCCCTGGGCACTACAGCCGTGCACCTGGGGCTGCATTTATTTAGTATTTAAGGGGAACAGGCCGGGGGAATTTGGCCTTAATGCTGTCTTTTCTCCCTAGTCTTGTTTTCCTTTACCGAAAATCGGAGTCAGATTTGCCGAATGCTAACATAGACGCCCGTACAGACACTCCACTACACCCTGCATTTCCAAAACAAAACACCAAATAGGAAAAAAAGACGAATAATCAGAAGGCGCTCACCCAGCCGGAGATTGCCTTATCTCCCAAAAGACACAGAAATTTCGGGCAGTGAGTCAAGACCCAGCTGGGGCTGGGTTGTAGTCAAAATCCTCAGAAATCCCATTCATGAGCCCGGTGAATGTGGGGCGAGAAATAAGCCAGGCAGAGTTCCGTGGTCTTATCAGGGTTCTGTGCAGATCCCCGAGAGCAGGGAAACAGAAGGGCTGGGGTCGGTGGTCTCCAACTCCTGCCTGTTCCCAGGTCCCTCCCCACCCGGCCTCCTTGAGGGAAGGAGTCATCTCTCCTGGGAAAGGAGTCATCTCTCCTTGCAGGACAAGGGGGCCCCCAAGGCCCTCGGGCTCCTGGGCCCTGTGCCCTGGCCTGGAAAGTGAGGGTGCCCTGGGCTGCCGTCTTCCCTCACCAGGAGCTGGGGCAGCAGCCCCTCATTCTGTGTCAGGAAAATGCCTCCGGATGGCGTCCTGTGAGCCCGGTTCCAGTATCTTGCTCTTTAAAACAAGCCAAGTCTTTGGAAATTAGCCTCGGCTATCGCAAGTTCCACCTTAGTCATGACCAGACTCTGACTTGGAAAAAATGCAATATCCACTCAGCCTCATAGCAGCTTATTGTCAAGACGTGTTCTGGTAAAGCTAGGGGAAAGCAGCAACCCCAGATGTATAAAGATAAATAGCGAAAATAACTGTGGCCTCTTTTGAACTGGGAAATATTCATTTGAATAGCAGCCTAGAAGAGACATTTGAGGGCAAATCCCAATTTTCGTAACTTGCCTTGCAAAGAAATTCTGTTGAAGGTGTTCTCTGAAAGGCCAGGCGGAGTGGCCCCCAGGCCAGCTGGTGTCCCCCAGCTTTCCAAGCTGTCTGCCCAAGTTTGCAGGCAGCCCACCTAGGCAAATGCTCCTATTTTTATGTAAAAAAAAAAAAATGCTAGTTCTCAGTTTATGTATAGTAATGCTCCGAGACAGGAGAGCCCGGAGGTGTCCCAGGGCCCAGAATTTGAAGTCTAGGCTCAGAACCCCAAGCTGCCCTCATGATGCTGCAAACATGAACCAGCAACTTCTGCAAGCTCAGTCTCCTTGCCCGGCCAAGGGAGCTCCCACCTACCCCACCAGACCCACAGGAGGACCCAGGTCCCGGGTGTAGACAGGCCTGACGCAGAGGTCAGTATCTGCCCTTCCCAGCTTAGCGGCCTGCCCCCAGCACTGGTTTTGTCCAGTGCTGGGCTTGTCCCAGTGGGAAGAACACTCAGATCCCTTGGGAGCGGCTTGACGCAGACACACATTCCTGGTCCCCAAACCCGACCTGGAGCTCCGGGAGCCCCGAGCCAACAACCCGTGACCCTCATCGCAGAGGCAGGCGCCACTGCCTGAGCCTCGCCCTCAGCTGCGAAGTTCTCGAGAAAACCCTGGGCCTTGATAAGCTGCAGGCGGTGGCTGGGAGAGCCCAGGCGAGATCCGTGCTGCTGGCCGACGCCACCTGGGAGGAGCGAGCAGGGGGCAAGCCCAGCCTCGTTTTGCAGAAGAGACCGGGTTAGAGAAGTACTTGGTGGGGCAGGTGACGCAGTATGTGGGCAGCACTGAGACCGGTCAGGCACAGGGCTCTGATGAGTCTCCATCCTATCAGAGCCGAATTCTGCGCGCTCCCCCCCCACACACAAGCTTGGCCAGTGGCCAGTGAGGTCAGGGACGGGATCCTTCATTTCCCTTGGACCCGCCCCTTCCACCTGCCCCTCCGGCCTGGCCCCTCCCCGCCTGTGACCCCACCAATGCTCTCTGCTCCCTTCTTTTCTGAATTGCCCCCCACCCTAGGAAGGCCAGGCTTGGGCAGGATGCAACCTCCTGGAGGGGAGAGCCTCACCCGGCCAGGAGAGCCAGGCCATCAGAGCAGCTGTCAGCCTGGCCGTGGGTGGCGAGAGGGCCGGGACCTTCCCCCGGGCCCTGGTGGGGCGGAAGCCCCTTGCCCCTGGCCAGCCCCTAGCCAGGCTGGTACAGTGTGTGGGCGCCAGGCTCTGCCTCCGGTGAGCCCCACAGTGGCGCAGAGGGCCCAGCCCTGGACACACCAGCCCCCAAGAATGATTTTTGAATTTTGATTCATTCACGGGCTTTTTTTTTTTTTTTTAATGTCCTTTCACACCTCGCGAGCGGCTCCTGATTGCTCTTTTTCTTTTGTGCAGGTGACAGCAGCGAGCACCCCCTGTTCTGTGTTGAATATTCCCCTTACTGCTCCGTCTTTGCTTTCTCCCCTGCCCTGCAGCCCAATGCCAATTATTGCTGCCTCCTCTTGCCGTTAGTGCCACCTGCCTCCCCGGCGGCCTCCCCGGCGGCCTCGCCCGTGGCCTCGGCCTCGCCTGCAGCCTTCCCACCAGCCCCCCAGGCCGCCTCCCCAGCTGCCCAGGACCGGTGCCCCCACTTCCCTCCAGTCCCCATTCCCACCTTCCCGGGCCCCTCTTCGCCCTCCCCCCTGAGCCCCACCGCCTCCGCCCTGGGCCCCGGGCCCGAGTCCCCAGCCTCCCTGTGTTACTTCCCCGTCTCCTGCCCCACCCGGGCCGAGACCCCTGTGCTGTGCCTGCCGGGCCCCAGAAGGCCCAGCAGAATTTACCTCATGTGGTGAGGCCCCAGCATGGGCAGTCAGGGGAGGGGACTGCAGGCCTGCAGAGGCAGGTGGGCGGGCGGGCCCAGGGCAGGACCACCGGCAGCCCGGGAGGTGTGGTGCCCGGGGAGCAGGAAGACCAGCTGCCTGATGCACCGTCCTCTGGCGCTAAGGAACGAGCGGCCAATAAAACACCGTCATCTCTCCAGACGCCTCTGCTTTCTTCACTCCCGTCTCTGGCGCGCTTTGGGACGTCGCCCCCAGACACGGGCAGGCCCCCGTGTCTGCTCACGCCCTGGGCCCCCGAGGGTGGGCCCCCACAGGCCGCTCAGACAGCCCCCCAGAAGTGAGAACCCGCCCAGAGCAGCTCCTTCCCCCGCCTGCTTATTAAGACACCCATCTCCCAAAATCAAAAGTCCCACCTCCCTGGCCCCAAAATGCAGCACAGTTATGATACATAAATAGCTTTAATTACGATCTCTTCAGGGCATGTGAGACAACTCTCATTGCCTGCACACCCAGAGAGGCCAATGGGCTGGGCCCGGTGTTGGCCAGGGCAGAGAGCCGCCTGTCCCCCAGGCCACCGCCTCGCCATTCGGCTGCAGTTCTGCCCAGCATCAAGGGGAGCAATGCCCCGATTCCAAAAGGCATCTGGGGCCACACTGGTGGCATAGGGGCTAAAGTCGCAATGCTGTTAAGCTATCCCAGACCCACAGGGCCCAGCAGACCTCTCCGTCTCCCCGCTGCTCCCCTCAGCAGTGTGTTTCAGTCCATCTGCCTGTTCTGCTCCCCACTCTGTCTCTGGTGAACCTTCTCACGCCCCCCCCACACCTCTGGCCTGCACCCCACTTCTTGTATGCATAAACAAATACATCTTTAACCAGAAAAAGCCAAAAAGGCAGCTGCTAGACAGACTCTTGGCACCCCCTCAGCACCCGAGTCAGGCTAGTGTGAGGGGAGAAAGGTGAGGGATCGTGTCTTTCTCGTTGACTTTGTCGGTCCGGGACCACGGGTGTGTGTGAGAGCAGCAGCTGAACAATAGCCAGGACGGGGAGTTAGCACCCACCGGTCAGCGTACTTGGCTCACAGGGTCCTGTATGAAGATGCGATTTCCACCTGTTTCCCGTCTGGTCAAGTTAAGAACTTTCTGGCCAGCAATGACCCTGTGTCTGTTTTGTCAAAAGGAAAGAGGCAGACGCATCCCAGCTGAACCACAGCTCGCTGGCTTTGCTCTCGGACGCGCCCCTTGGCTCAGATTCTAGAAGAAGGTGCTGTGTCTTCCAAAGTAAACCCCAGGCCTGCTAGGGCCCATTGACAGACTTGAGGGTGTTGCACTGTCTGGACAAGAGTCCCAAATGCAATCCCCTCCCCTCTGCAGGTGTAGGGTCTGTCCTAGGGTTGAGGAGGCTGCTACACGTCATCTCCCCATGCAAACACGACCTGGTCTTCCTGCAGTGTGCCTCAGTGAGACCATCTTAGAAAGACCCCAAAGTCTGTTCACCTTTGGGTGTGGGTGAAGCAATGAGGAGCTGGTACAAAAATTGACTGGTATAGAAGCTGAGCCCACAGACATACAGAGTGTGGCGCAGGTCACCTCAACCACTTGCAGACAGGGAAAGATGATTTCCCAAGAGTTTGCTTTCCACAGATCAGAAGGACATGACAGGGAAGAGGTCAGCCGTGCAGCCAAATTAGATTCCAATCTTTCAGGTTATGACCAAAAGGCCTTACTCAGCTCTGAGAACCTTCAAATTATTGTATAGCCACAGCACACAGATATTTGCTGAACAAATTACCCCCGAAAATAAATGGCTATTTGCCTTTTGGATTTTATAAAAGGATGAGGGAAAGACCGCAAGAATGACATGCGGATAAATGCAGTTGAATGAGTTAATCTCAACCTACAAACCCCACACAACAAGAATTTTCTGGTTAAATTCAGGGCTTTCATGGCAGTGAGTAAAGATTTCCATGATAGCAATTATTAGCACTACTATCACTAAGGTAGAAGCAGTAGACGTGTTGCGAAACTTACCGGGAGAGGATTATTCCCACTTCACAGTCGCAGGCTCAAACCCCCACAGCAGAGGTCTCTCACCCAGCTACTGCCTTAACACTGAGCCCCAGCCTGGTCACGGGAATCACTTTGGAACTCATTTCAGAGAGAGATGCTTCGAAGAAAGCATTTCTTAGAACAAGAAAACAAACGTATCTGTTAAGCCATCTGGGGTGTTTTGCACAGTAAGACCCTGATTCTGCTTCTGGATTAAGCTGCACGCATGTCCTTGAGCCCCAGGAATCAGCTGGCAGTGATTTTTTGTCCTAGACAGTACCAGGCAACACACAGCATCTTCATCTTTAAGGAGTGAGCAGCCGGCAGGTGATAGAAGACCCAAGTTGAGAATACTTAAGTGCTAAAGGCCATAAGAATCCCAAAAGTTCTGGCCAGAGCCGCACCAGAGCAGACTTGGAGGTTGTAAAACTGGCCCGGAACTGCAGGCCTGTGGGCCGAGGGGCGTGCTGGGCTCGGAGACGCTCTGCAGCCTGGTGTGAAAGCTGGCTCCTGCCAGGAATCAAAGTGAGACCCAAGGGCCATGGCCTTCGGGTCATGTCCTGAACACACACTGGACTTGGCTGAGCCCAGGCCAGCCCCTGGCTGGACCCTCTCTCTGTTTCTCCCTTGGTAATAAAAACAAGTAGGAATCCTACTGCTTCCACCTCTGTCCATCGGGTGAGAGGCAGGTGGTGAGTGAGAGCTGGGGCAGGGTGAGGACGCGGGGTGAGGGAGAAGCTGGGGGTGGAGGAACGCAGCCTCTGGTGTTTCCTCGGGAAAGGCCCCGCACTTTCTCTCGCATCCTCCTTGCCTTGTTTCGGCTCGTCTAACCACACATCCTCTTCTTCTGAGAACTCTCCTGTTCCTTTCTGCTCATGCCCATGACCTCTGGGTTCCACCAACTGACCCTGGGCTGGAACCTCCCCACTAGCAGGCCCCCCTCTTCCAGTAAGTTCCCTGTGGACCACGAGCCTCTCTCCTGGGGCCTGTCAGGGTGGGTATTACTTAATCGCTGTGATAAATTGGCTTCTGGGGCACCCAGGAGAACTCACACTCCTTTCCAGAACCCTGGTGAGAGCGCTTCATGCAACTATTGTACAGAAATTTCAGAAGGGTTCAGCCCAGAGAGTCTCAATTAAGCACTGTGTGAACTTGTAGAGAAGCGCCAAAAATACCAAAACTCACAAGCACTGATGCTAAATACACATGAAAGAGAAATGAGATGGTTCGGAGCAACCGAATTCAACGTGCGGACGCTTTACAAAATCCTCACCAGGAGCGCAGCCCCCTTAGCACCCCGGCTCCTGTCTCCTGTCCAGCACACCAGTGAGGGGCACGTAAGCCAGTAAAGGGTATGTGCTCCCCAGAGGCTGGGAACTTTCTGGAAGGCCATGTTAGCTGCTAGCAAACCACCTGAGGACATGACTTTGCAGGCACAGAACAGGTGTGATGCTGATTTGGGTGAGCTCTAGGGGAGCCTGGCGCGGCCCAACCGTAGAAGGCTGTCAACAGCGTCACCCACAGCCCACCCCAACACTGATGAGTGGAAGTGGGGCCCTGCTTAGCAGAAGAGAGGCGCCCCAGACGCTGCCTGCGGTCCCAGGTGCTCTTGCGTGGTGATAACAGCCTTGGGAATAGCTCTCACGCCTTCTGTGTGACAGGTGGGGAAACTGAGGCTCTGTGAAGTGACGCAATTTATCCCAGCTCACATGCAACAAGGGGGTGAAACCAGGTTGCCAATTCAGCTCATCTCCAACCTCCCCGCAGTCCTGGCTCCATTCTCTAAGCCCCCCGCCCCGAGGCTGGACCCTCTGAGCATTCTTTCTACAGAAGAAGTTTTCCATAAAAGGTCAATTATTGAAAAGATTTTACACCTTCCAGCAACCCAGGCACCACAGATATTATCAAAAAAGAGGAGGCCAAACCTGGGGAGACTGACAGTCACCCCAGAAGTGCAGAGCCTGAGAGCGTCTGGGGAGCGAGACAGGCAGAAGCCGCAGCTGCCAGCGAAAGCGCCAGCCCTCAGGGGAGCAGGTAAGGCCCCCCGACCCCCGCTCTTGGTCCTCAGAGAGGGGTCCTGACTGGTGCTGTGGGCCAGTGAACCTCGCGTGGCTTTGGACACATGTGCTTTTATTTAAGGAAGTGTGTACCTTAACACGAAATGCTTAACTGGTTTTCTAAACCAACGATTGCATTATTTCCTTCTCCCAGAGAGGCTGGTGGGAACAGGCAGGGCAGGGGGTACTTTCTAAAAAATGTTCTCTGCCGCGGCTCACAGTGCGACCGTGCATGGTTTCGGTGGATACCAGCAGTCTGGTGTCTGGACGGGCTGTGGCCGTGGGCGTGGGGCCGCGGCGGGTGGAGGAGCAGCCAGCCGCTCTGGTGGGTCTCACCTAGATGTGCCCCCGCCCAGGTGGGGGGACAGGCGTCTGAATAGCAGACAGGCACCCCTCACAGACCCCTTCTCCCTGTGGCCCAAGGTCAATGTGTAATCAAGCGAATCTACGCTTGATTTCAAGGCACAATGGCCACGGCCTCTGTGGTCCTGCCTGTCCACCCCAAGCCAAGCCCTGCCGCTCTGCCGGCCGCCTCCCCCTGGCCAGGGCGGCTGAAGCAAGGGCAGAGGGGCCTCTGTGGGACTCAAGGACAAGTCAGGGGGGCCTGACCGCCAGCCTTGCCCTGGCGGTCTGCCCCCCGGGAAGCCACTGAGCACACCTGTCACACCCAGCAACAGAGGAGTCTTGACTTCCACACACGGCTGGGGGGGGATGTGGCAGTGCTTGGGTGGCTTGGACTTCGGGGTGAATAGAGCCAGTGTGAGTGTGGCACACCCATGGGCCCCGCCCCCATGACAGAGGGCCTCCGCGTGAGCAGCACAGAGCTCACTTCTAATTCCTGTCCTCCTGCTCCTACTGGTGGACCCCTGGGCGGTACAGTGCCGCTCTGGGCTACAGCTGCATTGTCTTGAAACAAGGCTAATGAAATCTGCCTCATCGCATTGCTATAGTAACTGAGTGAAGTGACGTTCTGAGCGGCACCTGCTTTGCCTAGACAACACACCACGGGTCGTTCACTCCTGCCACTCCCGACTAACTCCCAACTACTATTTGAAAGGTGGGGCTCCCCACACATGAAGCATTCCCAGACCCATAAGGCTCACTCCACCCTCCGCCTGTACCCAGAGATGTCTCGCATTAGCCTGAGGTCCGCTAAGGCGTCGTCCTAATTTCCTACTGCAGCCAAGGCTCCTTACTTTACTTCTCCCAGTTACTGCCTCACCAGTCTCTCCTCCGTCCTTTCTCTCACATTCTACCGTGCACTGCATAAATTGGGGTAGGAGCCAGACGTCTGAATTATTTCTGGAGAGGTCTGAAGCAAATGTGACAGAGGCAATATATAAACAGCGCTTGCAAATCAATAAGAACATGAATATCCTGCACAACAATGGAGAAGAGGCATGACAATGTCAAAGAAGCCGAGATGCAGATAGCTAGTGGAAGTTAAAAAAAAAAAAAAAAAAGCTTAACCTCACTAAGTAAAATATGTAGATAAATTCGAGATTGATTATATGAGATAAATTTGGTCTACAAAGTGGGTGAGGCTTTTATAAAAACACTCGATGATGATAAGGGAGCTCACGGTTAAGCTTTCCTGGGCAGTCCTGGGGCAGCTCTAATGCCCAATCCCTTGGCCTCCCCTTCTGGTGACACAATTATGGAGCCCACCAGAATTTGACAAAGTGTCAAAATCTTTAGTTCATACCTTTTGACCCAGTAATTTCACACCTGTAAATCCTAACAACTAGGTGCAACTGAATATTCCAGGTATGATGAGCTAAAACAGAAAAGGCCTCCATCTGCCCTAAGATCCCTTCCTGAAAGATATCCTGTCCAAGGATATCTTATCCGTGTGTGTATGCCAACGAAACCCTTGAAACAATTGACATACCCAACAATAAAGAATTAAATTATGATGCAATTAGATCGTATACCCTTATACTATGGCATTTGTTTTTAAAAAAACAATTAATGGCCAGAGATGATGCTTACAAAAAAGGAGGACCTCAAGTCGTGAAGGCTCAGATATCCCAACTTTGTTTTGCAAAACTTACATATATTTTTAGATGAGAGAGCCCTGGGTTGCACATTCAAATGCCTTTGGGATACAGAAGGGGAAGGAAGTTGGCCAGCGAGGTCAGAGCCAGAGCTGTGGCTGGGGAGGGGCAAGGGGGGACCACGGTGCCCTACCTACAGGCCTCACCCGAATTCAAATGCTCCCCTAAAGCACCAGCCCTGCGCTGCATCCCAGAGCTGCAGCTGTGGCCACCTGAACTCTGATTTTTGTTTCTTTAGCGTGTTCATGGTTGACAACATTTCTACAAGGAACTCTGAGTCCACTAGAACCAGAGAAAAGCCATGGAAAGCCTGTGGGAACACAGGCCCATGGTCAAGCACCTGCAGAAGCCCAGACGAGGGTGTGGCCTCAGGCAGACGTTTCTGACGCTAGCACAGAGCCCCTAGAACATTCAGTTGCTCCCGAGACAGCAGGCCCTCTGCTCACAGCAGGAGCCACGCCGGCCTCCGAGAGGCCTTCACGGCCCGCTAGGCCTGTGCTATGAATAGCGTGTCCCGGCAAACCAACCTGGGTGTTTACTCCCAGCCCGGAGCTACTGAAATCTGCTCCCTATTTGATAGACACAAGAAATAGGGTTAAAATAGCATCAAGATAGAATGGTACAGTCTGCCACCTTTGGGGAAAACACAGGCATGCACAAGGAAGCACTGATTGAACGTTTATAGAGGAGGGGGGCCTACGTAGGGTGCAGCTGTACCCCCGGGTGTCCGGGGCCTACCAGCAGCTCAGCCTGTGCCACCTCCTGCTGGAGGGCGGTGTCACCAGGTGACAGCTCAGTGGCTTCCATGAAATCAGCTTACGGCTCCTGTTGAGATCCCAGATTCAGAAGCTGCCCTCGCCAAGTCTCTGCCCGTCAGGCGCCTCCCGAAGTCACACTGAACCGGGTCCAGGCTGAGCGAGGGCTGCCCCATACCTGGCAGAATCTGTGTCTGCAGAAGGCTCGGGGCCCACACTCCAGAGCTCATCTCTGAGGCCCTTCATCAAATCCCAAATGGAAAGCCATTAGCCAGAGCCCACGCTTCCAAATTTGTTCTCAAAATGAAAGTTCTCAGGATAACGGCTTTGTTGGGCAGAAGCGTCTGTTCCTCTCAGTGGTCAGCCCAGCCGGGGAGGAACACGGGGCCCACTCGCTACATGCACAGCCAGGGACTCGAAGCATCCTTGCTGGCAACAGGGCTCTTCCTGGGGGTTCTAAAGCCCACCAGGGGTCTGATCAGGAGCCCAGCTGCCGCCAGGAGGGACAAGTCTGGACTCGCACGGCTCCGAGTGCCCGTGCAGCTAAGAGGCTTTCCGAGTGCAGGACTGTAGAGGCGCGCAGTGACACTCCCTGGAAAGGCCCCACTAAAGTAAGTGGGGGTCTGGCGAGCTGAGGATCGGCTAGTCACCTCCTGTAGCACACGGGCTTTCCTGAACCTGTGGCGTCCTGTCCACGCTCCAGGGTGAGCCGCTTGGAAGCAGAAGGACAGCGGATGCTGTCCAGTTCCCAGGAGGCAGGCAGAGGGGGAGGGCCAGTACCAGGGGAAATAGGGATAAGATAAGACAGTCTCCCCAAAGCTCCTGCAGAGAGCATCTGTGCCCTCACCCCGTCTCCCCCAATGGGAGATCCATAAAACTACGGAGGGGGATTTGGAAGCCATAAGATGAGAGACTTTTCTCAGTGCCTTGTCCACGTTGAGAGGGTGAGAAACCATCTCAAATACCTGCATGACACTGTGTTAAATGGATTCTCATTTTCACAAGGACGCTGGTTTAAGCGGCAGTGCAGGGCAGTGGCCAGAACACAAACCATAGCATCAGGCAGGCCCGGCACAAGCCATCACCCCGTCACTCACTGGAAATAGGACCTTGGGGGTGTTCTGTGTGACCTCTGTGAGCCCGGGACCCTCGACCATGAAGTATGGGATCGAGGTACCTGTTTCACTGAGTCGTGAGGCCCAAGTGTGAGTGTGTGACACAGTCATCAGGAGCCCCAGTGCTGTGTGATTTCTGTAAGGCAACTCTGGACCAGATGACTTCCCCCCCCCCCCTATGGACAGCTGGCCTCTGCGCATCCTTCAGACTCAGGTGGCATGGAGGGAAGGTTCTACCAGAGCCAGAGACTTCACACTGACTAGAGGTCATGATTTCAGGAGCAATGTGTAATTTTCATTTGTTCGAAGTAATCTATGGAACAGCAATCGTGGGTATAATTGAGCAGGACCTCAAGAGCCGCCCCCCACGCTGCCAAGGTCAAGTGTCCCTTCCTGAGCGTTGAGGGAAGCTGGAGTGCTGTGGGGTGTGGTGCTGGAGGCGGCTGTAGAAGCCACTCCTGAAGGCGGGTTTTGCTTCTCAATAAACACCAGTGGAAAACACCCTCAGAGAGAAGCGCCACCATCAGCCCCGACTGACTGACCGACATGGGGCTGGACAGTCTCCCCAACGCTCCCACAGAGAGCAGCTGTGTCCTTACCCTGACTCCCCCACTGTGAGATCCGAGAAAGTACGGAGGGGGATTCGGAAGCCACAGATGAAGCCAAGTCTAGCGCGCCCTGGTACCTCCAGACGACCGCAGGCTGTGGGGGCTGCAGTCGCCTTCAGGGACTCCTCACTCTTGGGGCTGCAGGTTTTCCATCCATGAGCACTTTAATCGACGCGCGTCTCTTCTCCATGCAGATGCAGGAGCCCAACAAGAAAGCCCCACATGGACGAGAGACACTAAGCCAAAGAGGATGACTCGCGAGAGAAGGAACTTGGGCCCGTCCACACAGCAAGTGACGGTGACGGACAACACCCCAGAGAGGGCCCAAAAAGGAGAGCTCAGCGTGCTCTCGCCACTCGAGCCCGCTCCGGCCCTATCCCGGGTCTTCCTGGGAACAAATTCCCCTTGCTCCTCGTTGAGAGAGTCCCTGGGGCCCCCGCTGCCGGCCGCCACGGAGGGGCCTCGGAGGGCCCCGTTTAGGTTCCGAGACGAAGACTTCTATTCCATTTTATCTCTCAACACGGGGGGAGACGACGACGCCACAGATGAGGAAACCCAGGTGGAGGAGGAGCTCCTGCTGGTTGGCATGCATGCCCTCCACTGCCCTCACTCCACGCACAAGAGAAGCCGGCTGCTTGGGGCGCCCGCCACTCTGGGCAAAAGCAAAAATTTTGAAGGCCAGCCTGTGAGCTGCAGCGCTCACGGTGTGAGGGGTGAGCCTGGTCTCAGCTCACTAAGAATAAGCCAGGCCCCGCCGGGGCAGCGTCCTCTGGGGCCAATGATGGCGCCAGAGCCCGGGCTGCCCGATGGGGTCCCTGCTAAAGACGACGACAGTGATGACAGTGGAGACGGGGACAAGGCCTTTGTGTCATGGAACACCAGGTCCAAACCCAGCCGACCCGAGCCCAGTGCTGATGACGTACCCAGGATTTGTGCTTCTCTGGGAAACAGGCCTGGTCCCCACGATTACCAGAGAGACTGGCAGGTGTATTTAAACAGCTCCAGCAGCTCCCTGGACTATTTTCTTTCTGGTAGACCAGCACCTCCAAGACCACCCATGAGTTCCTCCCACAGCACCCCCGGGTCATCAATGCCTTCTGCGCTGAGCAACAATTTCCCAGGGGACCTGCTGATGCCACCTACTTCCATGCACAGTTCAGACACAGAAGGGAACTCGAGATTTAATGTGCGCCGGCCACTGTCCCCCATTAGAAACCGGAACCCACTGGCCAGCACTGACAACCATAGTCGTCCTCCAGTAGACAACGCACCTGAACCTGACGTCAGGGGAGCAGAAGATGCGACTTGCATAAGCCGGTCTCAGGCAGCGCCACTGAGCACCGAAAGTCTCGGAGTAAATCCTCAAGGCGGCTCAGCCCCGGTGGAGTCTTCCGGCTCCGGGATGGACTTACAAGCCCACCTGCATGTGTCAGGGTCCCTGCAGGAAAATATACCTTTGACTTTCTTTACAGTGTCCAATTTCCCACATCACGGTGGCAGTGGGAGCAGAATGGCAGTGTCTCGTTCCACAGATAAGGAAGCCACGAAAACTAAAGCAGACCCTGAGAAACTCAAGAAACTGCAAGAAAGGTGAGAACTTCTCATAAAATTCTATATGTACATTAAAAAAAATTTTTTTCATCTCAGCACTAAACTACACAATACTTTCAATAGAAGATGAGGGATGGGGCCTTCCCTGGTGGTGCAGCGGGTTAAAGCGTAGCAATATGAAGCTCTCCACAGCCACTGTAGCCAAAGAGGTGACCCACATGGCGCAGCAGACCTCTCCTGACCTGCCCGCTGCTCCCCTCAGCAGAGTATTTCAGTAGGTCCGCCTGTTCTGCTTCCCACTCTGTCTCTGGTGAGTCCTCTCACCCTCCGCACTTCTGGCCTCTACCCCAGTTCTTGTATGCATAGATAAACAAATATTAAAAAAAAAAAAAAAAGATTGAGGGACATTTAAACCATAGGTAGGCTGTCCTTGACATTTTGATTATTGCTTCTATCGAGAATATGACCTATTTGAGCTTAAAGTCCACGTCTATATGGAAAAGGTCGGGGTTCCATTTCTTGGTTTTCCCAGAGTGTTTGTCCCTTGAATACCGTGACTTGAATGCGAGGGTGTCTGGCTGTCCCCAGGGGTTAGCGCTCTCACCAGGGAGACGTCTGCACAAGAGAGGATGCTGTCTCCCCAGAGAATGGGCCACTCAGCACTTGAAGTTCACCGGCTTTCCCTAGGGGGATTTTGTGCAAATCCCCCTACAGCTCTAGAATCCGAATCTTCCAAGCTGAAAGGCTGTTCCCAAACAGTTACCATAGTTACCTGGGCTCCCCAAAGGGCCACTGGGATAACCACAGCTTCCATTTTGTGTGCTCTTTCAAATGCAGGCAAGAGATGAGAAATTGGATCTTTTTCAAACAGTTCCTTTCTTTGATCTTTCCCTGCGTGTGAGGCCATCTTGGGGTATTTCACGACTCTGACATCAGATACTTTTCAAAGCCATCATCAAACGCCACCTCGGGGCCCTGCCGTCCGGTTTGCGATGGGTGTCTTCCGGGCCCTGAGCTGGCCTTTCTAACCTGGAAGCGGATTCTCTGAATGCGAGCTCTCTGTGTATTTAGTGTGGTTCATTTGCACTATTCATTGGCCTGTGCATATTCCGTTCTAAGTAGGAAAATTCCTTGGCGATGAATTAGAAATGCAAAAGAGGCCACGAGAAGGGGAACACAGATGTGCCGGGACTCCTCTGCTTTCACTCGGTTGCGGAATGAAATAACCTCTGGTTAGCCGTGGCTCTTCGTTCCCACATTAAATCGCCAAAAGACCAGTCTTGGATCGGCACCAAAGGGCTTCGGGAGCCTCAGCCCTCCCCAACCCAAAAACAGAGCCTCAGACCCACTTGCCAGGAGTCTGGGTCCCCCCAACCCGAAGTGATGCCCCAGATGATGCCTTTGAAAAATGAGCCCGCTGCTCCAGCTGCTGTTAGTTCTGTGCTTTGCTTATCACTCACTCTTTCCCCCCTAAAACTCTGTCTTCTTTCAAAAATACTCATTTTAGGAACCATTAAAAATATAAACTTAAAAATCACCTGTACCTATCCTCTAGAGATCAGCACTGTTTAAAGCTTTCCATTTCTAGTCTTTTGTCGGTACATGCCGACTCAGTTAAGCTTTGGTTCATATGTTGTAATCTGCCTGATTTTGCTCTTTCAAGCCCACTCCTCGGAGCCGCTTTCAATCTTGAAGTGGGCCCTCTGTGACTGGCACACACACAAATAAGTGTCTAACCCACAAGTAGCCCTGAAGTGGGACACCGCTGTGCCCACCTTCCGGCTGAGAGAAACTTGCGAGGACCCCAGGGGGCCCCTCTCCTGCTGGTCTCATCTCCCTTCCTCACTGGCCCCCTCCCCAAAACTCCCTCCGACCCCAGCAGACCCTTCCTGCCTTGCACGTGTCATTCCTTTGCCTTCTGTTTTGTTGCTTTGGAGAATTCTGCCTTGTAGTTTTATCACTTGTGTGTGTGCGCGTGCGGGTCCCAAGCAATAGATTGGGCATACTTCCGATTCCACAGAAATGTGACCATTACTTCCGAGCTCTGCAGCAATGCAGTCTGTTAACGACTAGCTGTTCTCCCGACATCACTCGTGAGCTGCACTTCTGTCGGTCTGCGTGGCTTTAGCTCACCCGCTCGCGCCAGGCCCAGTGCCCATCAGCATAGTCAGCCCCGCCCCGCCCTGCTCCCATCCTCTTTGCTGTTTTCTGCCAACAGCTACACGTGTCTGCTCACACGTGTCTCCTGGTGCACTTGAGCTCCATTCTCGGGGGTACTGACCCGGGGTCCAGGCAGGGAGCACCCCTTCCGCCACGCTAAAGGAAGCCAACCAGGCTCAGCAGTAACGCAGACCATTGCCCATCCTGCCGGCTCGTGTTCGGTTCAGGCTCTTCCAGTGTTTTCCAGCCATTTCCATGACCGTTACCAGGTCAGGTGTTTTATGTGGCCACCTGCGTTCCCCCGTCTGTAAAGCACGGTTGCCCACTCCTCTTTCAGAATGTTCTTCTCCTGTTTGAAGAATTCCTTCTGTGTTCTGACTACTAATTTAATCCTTTGACAGTCACGTGTCCGAAATAGCTTTTCCCCAGTTAGGAGTTTGTCTCTTGATATGTCTTAATGAGCATAAACTCTCCTTAGACAACGTCGAATGTATCCATCTCTTTTAGGGATTGTGTGATTTGTATCTTGCGTATCTTGTGATCTTGAGAGCGCGATAACCTGGGGGTATTGCAACAGTCTTCCTTGTTCCTTCTAAACTCTGCTCTTGTACTCTGCACACCTGGACTTAATGTGAAATGAGCCTACCACGCCGCGTCTGATGTGTTGTGTGCAGAACGTGCCGGCACCCCCCCCCCCGGGCCCAGGACCGCCCCCCGCAGTATCTTCGTGTCTGTTGCTTTATAAGCTTTGGTAACTGAGGGTGCAAAGCCCGCCCCGGCTTGTTCTTTAAGAGCCCGTGACCACACAAGTTTAAGACGCTGCATGTTTGAGATTTTATTGGAATTGCCTGAGACCTATAGGTCATTCCCAGGACAACTGACTTCGTGGCAAACAGTGATTCTTTCTTAGACAGACGTGGTGTGGTCTCTTGTTTGTGAGCTTAATAGAAAACCGCCAGTCTGTTCCTTTTCACCGAACTTCCCTTTCGTGGGGAAGTAGGTCTCCAAGAAAGTGACTAGATCCTTCTACGCCCAGAGCATCGTCCTTCTCTTCCTCGTCTTTGATTTTTGTCCCTCTCCGTGGTTTCTCCTCCTTGACCAGACAGCCCTCAGTCACATGAAGACGCTCAAGAACTCTCAACAACAAAAATAGTCTAAAAATCCTGCAGACAGGAACACCAACCCCTTCCTCACCCCCATCGACCAGACGCAACGTCATCCCCTGACACCTCATTCCTTCCGTGGATGTCAGTCTCGGAGCAGCTGCATTCGGGCATCTTGGTGCACTTGTGGGCAAGTGTGGTACCCGTGAGGCGCTCATGGCCAGATGCCTGGCTGGTTACCTGCCCCACCCAACACCCACTGAGGCATCTCCACATGGAAATAGGTCACTGGCCCCCGGGTGCACTGGAGAGCTGGCAGCTCAGGCTCATGCCAACCTCACAACCGGTCTGCCCACGTGGGCCGGCTGGCAGACGGGGCGCACAGGGCTCCTCGGAAGAGCCGTGCGGCCCTGGGAGTTTGAGTAACCTGCCCAAGCCACCAAGCTCACCAGCTTAGAGGCAAGTCTCCAATCCAGGCCCCTGACCACAATCCCAAACACCCACCCACCCTGTGGCCAAACAGGGAGAGGCTTCCCTGAGTTCCACATGTCTTGCTGTAGGGGAGCAGCATCTCTCCTGGCCAGCAGAGCAGCCTGAGGGGTCCTCGCCCCATCTGTCACCACACCAGGGAGGGCTTTCCGACGAGTCAGAGGGAGCAGTGGGCTACCAGGGAGGGTGGGGCATGGCGTGGGGGGCTCCTCCCCATACCAACCCCTGGGGGGCTGATATTTGTGGAAACTGCAAACGTGCAGACTCTGGTCACGAGGGCTTGTTTTCTGTTTAGTCTCCTGGAGGAGGACTCCGAGGAGGAGGGAGATTCGTGTCGCATCTGTCAGATAGTCGGGGGTTCCCCAACCAACCCCCTCCTGGAGCCGTGTGGCTGCGTGGGAAGCCTGCAGTTTGTTCATCAAGAGTGTCTGAAAAAGTGGTTGAAAGTGAAAATAACATCAGGTAGGTGGGGGAGCGGAGCCGCAAACACGCACGGCGTAGAATCCATAGTCAGGGCACCCCCGGGACTCGGCCTTGACAGCCGCTGGCTCCGGAGGAGCCCCCAGCCCCGCGCCCCCCAACTTCATGCTCCCCAGCCTTGTGCCCATCCCTACACCCCTGCTCACAGGCCCCGCGGCCAGCGGGGGGACTGAACCCTGTCTTCAAACCAAGGGAGGGGAAAGAATTGCTTTTCCAGTCTGAGTGCAGAACCTTGAACTTGACACTACTGAATTCTACCCCCACTGGGGGGCTGAGCAGAGAGGCTAAGCTAGCTCCCCAGGACGGAGGAAGCTAGAGACGGCTCAGTGGTCAAAGCCCACAGCACATGGCAGCCATGCCAGAAAGAGCCCCAGCCCAACGGTCCTGCTTGCTTTTACTTGGGGGGAGATGGGGCCCAGGATGGGGAGGCATCGCCCCAGAAAGGGAGCAAAGCTGCCCTTTGCAGGAGAGGTCGGAAGAGAGCACTGATTTGATTTTCCAGAACCACAGGCAGCAAGAGAGTCCCACGCGCGGGCTCTATCTTTAACAGATCTTGCCACTGGGCCTGAAGCTCCATCTCACCACCCAGTCAGCCGTGGTTTCTGTAGTTAGCAGAGAACAAGAGGTTTCTTTAAAGCACGTTGTTAGGAATGAGAATAACCTGAACAAACAAAAACTGTGGAAGCTCCGTGCAAAGAATATCTCCTTTAGAAAAAGCTGTCTGTCGGTCAGACACACCTCTCAGGAAGGTTCTACCCGAATCACCCCCTCCTCCTCCTCCCTTTTCCCCTTGGCCATCATCCCGCAAAACTTGGAGACTCACCCTGCCCCAGGGGCATGGCCTCCAAGCACTCCCGCTCACCCCAGCCTGAGCCAGGGGACCCTCAGTCACCAACCCTTTCCCAGGCTCTATTCCACATTTGCATCTTCCCCAGGGGGAGAACACCACGGGCTGCATCTCCACAGAGCTCTCGGCCCTTTGGCGAACAAAGAAGTGGCACTCATTGCCATCGGCTCAGCCAGGCAGGGCTTTGACCGGGGGTTGGAAGTGCCCCTGTGGGTGGCAGGTTCCTCTGCGCACGTGGACATGCTGGTCAGGGCTGAGGACACAGGCGCCAGCCCCAGCCTGGAGCACTAAGGGTGAAGCTACAAGAAAAATCAAGCACAGTGCAGATAAGGGTACCTGCCCGCCTCGTCCTCTGAAATTCCCTTTTATTCACTCTCTTTAGATTCCCACGAGAGTCTAAAACTAGAATTGGGACATGAGACAGTACACCCCTTATCTTCCCAAATAAATGCAGCTAACTCTTAACTGCTTAAGGTAAATGCCAGCACGTCATGAGTCAAAATGCAGCCCCCTGGCTGGGGGAAATGATACTGTACAGGGCAGGACGTTTGCGCGGACATGAAAGTCACAGGTCTGTGTCCTCCGCTTCTGCAGCGGGGTACAGGAGAGGTGGACAAAAATGCTGATAAGAAGGTCCGTTAAAAACAGCCACCAGGGCCCTCCCTGGTGGCGCAGTGGGTTAGAGCACGGCACAAAGAAGCTAAAGCCACTTCAGCACGAGTTCAATCCCCAGCCCCAGAGGTGATCCACATGGCGTGGCAGACCACTCCTGACCTGCCCGCTGCTCCCCTTGTAACTGGGTGGTCCCTAGGAGAAGGGAAGTTCCAGGTTCTCTGCCCCACCCAGAAGAAGGGTGGAACTGAGCAGAGAAAAAGGAGAGAGAAGAAGAGAGAAGGAGGGCAGATGGAGAAGGAGACCTAAGGAAGCCACATGGAGCAGCAAACATGTGATGAAGAAACCGGGCTTGTTTCCTGACCCTGGACTGGTTA